GAACGGGCCGGGTCATTCTCTTTGTACTCTCTCTTTTTATGCTCTCCTTTTTTTTTTTTTTTCGAGTCGGTCTTCGTCCAACGAAGTAACCTCGGCACGTACGACTTTCGAGCCGTCGGCTCCTTTGAAGAGACAATCCGGACGGAAGGGCGAAGCGATCGCCTTCTTCTTCAAGACGTCTGTATCGCGACGTCTATAAGGTTTTTCACGGATACGAAGGAAATATAAGAAGAATACAAAAGAGATCGGGAATTTTTGAGAAATTTTTTTTACAGTGTCTCGTCGGTCTTCTCGAAAGGAAAATGAAGAGAAATTTTGGGAAATTTTAAAAAATTTAAAAATTTCGCAAGATTTTCTTTAGATCGCGTTGAAAATTTTTGCGAAATTTCGTTTTTTCCTTTCTTTGAAAATTTCGCAGAATTTATTTTCTTTAAATACATTTTATGAAATTTTTATAGAATTTAATAAAATCCTTAACCCTTCCATTCAATTTTCCAAAAATTCTATTTGACGAATAAAATCTTTATAAACGATAGATGATATTCTCATAAAATTATTAATCGAGTCGCATCGAGTTGTATGTATTTACTTTTAAGAAAAATGATCGATATATGCAAATGAATGGTCACAATACCGTAACAATTACGAGTAGTATCGATATGTATATTCGTTCCTTTTAATGTCATAGAGTCACGGGGACCAAATGCCATACAGGTGCAGCTGGTGTGCCAGATTATTCAAACATAAACGCAGCAGAGATCGACACGTAAAGCTTCATACAGGAGACCGAAGATATCGATGCACGCACTGCGAGGCTGCTTTCTCCAGGAGGTAACGTCTAAAACTCCTATTATACCACTATTATCGTAACTTCTACCTCTCTCTGAACAATATCTCTCCCCAAATCTTCACCCGGAATTCCTTTATCTTTCAAACTCAAATCTCCAAATTAATTATTTACAAAAAAATCGCTTTTTGATATCCCACGTGATAAATTATCTCGTTTCCTAAAATTTATTCTTCTATTATTGTACGATTATACAGATTCGAAGGAATAAATATTCGCGATCCAACAAGAAGAACAATCCAATCTGAAATAGACAAGCGGAAAGCGGGAACGAAAGTGGATAGGCCCCGATATTCCGATCCATCGTTTGACAAATGAATAATGATCGCGCGACGACCACGGCTCCGGCTGGCATTAGTCAAGCTTACTCTCTTACGTGACTCTTTCTGTATTTACCACCTTCCCATCCCTCCCCTCCTCTCTCTCTCTCTCGCCTCTTCTCCTCCTCCCCCTTCCTATCTTTATTTCTCCCTTTTCTCTCGCATTCAACCCATGGGTTATTGAAATGCTAAGCTGGTATAAAGCAGGCGGATCCGCAAGGGTGGCAAGCACACGCACCTTTTCGTCCTTTAAGTGTCCACATGGTCTTCTCGAAATATACACACGGGGCAATGTA